TTTTTAATCAATGCCTTCTGCAGGAAAACAGCCCTTTCCATCAAATTTTCCTGACTATTTTGTTCCAGGTCACAGGAATCTCAGCATTTGCCCAAATTGCTGGGTTTTCCCCTCAGTCCAGCAAAGCAAAAAGGTCCCTGGCAAATTTTAACTACGTGAAAAGTTCAGGTGATGCTGGGAGTTTCGCCGCATCCCAAACCTGGCGGGGTCACCCCTCTGGCAGAGAGGTGCCACCCCGCAGCCCCGGCCCTGGCCCTGTCGAACAAAGACTGCGGGTAGATACAAAGGAGGCGTTTAGGTAAGTTCCCCATTGTTCTTTTGTGCTGTGCTTCCTCTGACACCGCACAGCACCCAGGCTCACGTACCGCCACGGTTTCTATGGTGAGTGCTCGTCCAATTTCAGTATTAGGCTATGAAACCACCCAACAGGCCCATTTTCTCGTTTCAGCATCCTTCTGCAGAACAAATAGCAGCAAGGCAAACAAAAAAAAAAAAAAAAAAAAAAAAAAATCAGCGGTTTCCCGCAGTCACGACCACAAGCCCGAGGACCGGTGCAGGGGCTGTTGAAAGGGATGGAAAAACAGCCCAGTTGTGTCTAGCACGATAGGATGGATTTTTGAGATGGGCGTTTCTAAGTGATTAGCTTAAAAAAGAATTAAAAAAAAAAGACTGGGTGCTTTTTTAAAACGTGGCTGCTACCTTGCGAAGAGGAGCTACTTGGTGCCAAGGACCCTTGGGAGAACGTGGCCCTCGTTTGGGGTGGCTCAGAGGGCGATGAGACCTCCCAGGATCCTGGTCCCCAATTCTCAGCCTTTGTATCTCTTTGTATTAGTATTTCGCATTATTTTGATTAAAATCAAAAGAGCTGACAATTTCTGTGAGGTTCTTTCAGCAATTTAAATGTTCTCCTTGCACCGTTCTTGATCCAGCTCTCTTTTTACTGATCTTTTAAGCTGAAAAATGTACACACATTTTCCCTATTAAAAAAAGAATAAAATTTCCCAAGCTCTGAATGAAAAAATGTTCTGCTGCTTCTATATTGAAAAAGGTAAATATATGTATTTATGTATATTTTTATATATATGTATGTATCTGTGAAGGTTGGAAGCAGTGTCTTAAAAAGAAAAAATATATTCTAGCACAAGTTTAAGCATTCAAAAAAATAAAAGCAATCCAATCACTCTCTAACAAGCTTTTTAATCTACCCCAGACAGGACAGCGTCAGGACTAATGACAAAACCTTTCCCCCATTTCTTTGTGGTAAAAGGGCCCTGACCCTCCTGCGTCTCGGCGATTCTTCTGCTCTCGCAGGTCTCTTTCTCTAGTCTAAAATATTTTAAAATGTTTTGTAGCTTGTTCATAATTAATAGGAATTTTACCTAATGGGAAATTAATGAACCAAAAAGGAGAAGGCTAATTACTGTAATTTAAGATTGGCAGTGATTCTCAGACCCCACAAAGGATCGTGTTTTGCCATGCGTGTGCCGAGGACACGCTGGTCCGCAGGGCTGGTGGGGACGTGCCGCCGGGAGAAGCGGCAGAGCCCCGTGTGAAGCTTCACTGATCAATGACCGTCCTCTCCAGGTGCTCTTTGCTATTTAACTTCCAGGGGAATTAAACAAAAGGAAGTGTCATTGAATAACGAGAGCAACAACAAGCAAACCAGAACGCTTGACAAAGAAAGAAATGGTGCTTTCCTCAGAAGGAGGAATTCCCCACACATGTTTAAAGATTGCTAAACCAACTGGGGTCTCCTCGTGTCCTGGATTTTCAAAAGAGAAAAAAAAACCCAACAAACTACAACAACAAGAAAAAAAACCCAAACAACAGCTGATACAAAAAAGCATATCATGAAAAAGGCAGGTAGTCCCCTTTGGCAATGAACGCCGAGTTTGGTTGTTTTAACTGTGAGCTCTCAGACTTTACAAGTTTGGTATCACAGAGACACAACAGCTAAAACTGAGTCCAGGCTTGCATATTTTAAACATGTTTTTCTCAGCCTCCAAGGTCTGCCCAGCCAAACCCTGAATGTAGGAAGCCTGGATCCACAGGAAGAGGGAGAGGATGAAAATGTGCCAACAAAAATGATAGCACTATGAAATTCTACCTTTTTCTCCCTGTGGCCTATGCAAAATGTGGTACTACTTCAATAGGAAAAAAAAAAAGAAAGAATTGTTTTTGCCCACGGATGAAACCTACTCCATACTACACTGACCGTGCCATGAGTAATTCAGCCATGCAGAGCTCTGCCAGAGCCAGTGTACATAATAGCATGTATTTACTACATCAGAGGAATGTGAGTCATGAGCGTAACTGCTCGGCTCCGCAGTCAGTGCTGTTTTTCTATTGTGTTCTAAAATATTTCCCATACGCAAAATAATAAAACGCCACGTTTTTAATGCTAGGCTTGAAAAGAACACCACCATTTTCTAGCTTGTTATTAAAAGATTTGGCTATTACAAATTTTATTTGCACCTTGCTACAATAATGGAGTTAACTAATTTGCTAAGGTGGCACTGTAAAAAGGGGACTAGACTCGAAGCCCTAGTTCAGGTGAGCATGTTTACACTCCCTCATTCAACCTGATGGAAACGGCGGGGGGAAGTCGGGGAGGAGGAGCACCATGGGTTCCTCATGATAAAGGGAGGCAAAATCTGCAGGAATTCTGCCCCACGGCAGTATTGCTGCTGACTTCAGTACAACCCTTTGATAGGGACAGCGCATGTTAACTCACATTTTCTTTTATCCACAATTAACGTTAAAGAAACCTAAGAAGAGGAACAGCATCCCGTGAGTTTGGCGCATGAGGTGCCTCACTGAAGTCCCCGTTACGCTTCCTTCACCCTTGCAATGAGCATTAACCAAAACCGAAGCCAGCAACGTGCATCGCAAGTACTTCCTCCCACCGCAGCCCCAAGCTTTCCTCAGCATGCTGTGGCCCTAAAAAGCCCCTGGAGCTGTACCGAAGCACCTTCCGTGCTGCAGAGCAGGCACCTAAGCCTTGTAGGGCTCCCCAGGGACCAGGCAGTTCTGGGGCTTGCCGGCAACCCAGCCAGATGAGTCCTCACAGAACTCATGTTACCAACGTACGTGCAACGACAGCCCATGTTTTGACCAAACAGCAGCCGGGCTGAATTTGTAAAGGCTTTTGGGAGACCACAAAGACAAGGAATAGGTTGGAGGGACCACAGGGAGCACTGACAACCTGCTGGGGGGGGGAAGGTGCTCTGTTAAAGGTGGGACCCAAAGTCCTTCAGTACATTGCGACACCCCCAAAGGCCGTGACAGCGTCAGCATCTCGGGATGGCTTCGCCCTGCACCTTACCTTCACTGAAGACAAAATCTGCGGTGATGTCGAAGGGCTGGACGCGCACTTCCGACAGCAAGAGCTGTACGGACTTCTGGTGGTCGCTGGAGATGAGGGAGATGGTCTGCTGTGCCTGGCACTCGTAGGACTTCCCAGCCGGGGTGACCAGGGCAGAAAGCCGGTGCGAGCTGGCCGTGTGCTTCCCGGCTGGCCAAGGGGCAGAAACAGCAGAGGTCAGGTCCCGTCTCTGGGGGACCAATGTGACTTTATTAACAAAGCTAATGAATTGAACACAAGGGTATGCAGGCGGTGTGCAATGCGGCGGTCGCACGCTCCACTGCTCTCTTAAAGCAGCATTTTCTTCGGGGGTGGGACCGTGCTTTCAGCATGACACCCCCACATAGCCAGGGCAGTTCCCGCCCTGGGGCTGCCTGCCCGCAAGCAGGAACGGACGGCTGCAGAGCAGGGTCCTGCCGGCACGAAGGGGAGAGCTGGCTCTGCCGCTGCCAGCTATGTTCGTGTCACAGGACTTGAAGTCCATAAAGTCAGAGGAATGGTTTCTATTGATGCAAGTTTCAGCCTCGGACCGTGCTCGTACTCCCTACATTCAGGACACAGCAATTCCTGCGGCAGCACTTGGGCTCTGGATTCAGGTGGGAAGGAGCAATGTAATTTGGGGACCTCACTACAAAGCAAAACAGGCCATAACACCTTTCCTGAAAATACAACATGACCATTTCACGCAAGTATAGATTACAAGAAAATATTTTCCCATCACATCAAGGTTGTTTTATAAATGAAGGCCGAATGCGGCTCAGCAAGGTGGAATGAGGGATGCCTTCCACCTCCCGCTCTTCTGCAGCCCTTTGTTCCCCTCCAGCAGCACAGAAAGGCAATCAGTGTTTCGCATTTGCAGAGGGTGATGAGGCATGGCCACCACCGTTTGGGGACACAAACAGTAGAAACACCAGTGGGAAAAATAGGTCCACGTCCTGTGTGTCTTATGCCACAAACTCTTAATGCACCATTCACTAGAGTTTGAAAAATCTTGAAGAACAACTACTTGCAAATGACAGTATTTCAATTTTCAAGGCGAGACAACTCATTTCTGAGCAAGAACGAGATAAAAACCAAAACGAAAGCCAAAAGAAAGGAAACCCAGTGAAAAAAGAGGGGGCTGTTGGGTGTGGAGGCGTGTAGGGGTACGGATATTGATGTCAATCTCATCGTTATCTTGGGAAACAGCTGCTTTCTCACCTATTCAACCATCATCAGAACCGAGGGGATAATTAACCTTAAAAAACATCTCCCGCGGGAAAGGAGACAAATTTTTCTAGACCAGGCAGACCACCCCCTCGGACCCCTGGGTCCCGCCGGGAGGGCCCGGGGCAGCGCAGCAAACACACAGAGGTTGGGCTCTCCCTCCCACGGGAACTGCGGTGATTAAAAACAAGAAACAACCAAAAAAA